TACAGATGAGGGTGGAGGTACTACAGTGGTTATGTCAATCTGTTTTCCTGACTTCAATGTGATGGCACTCACATTCTTAGGATTAACCACAGTCTGTGCAGGGAGCTTGTCTGAATTGTGATTTTGCAATTGATTCACAGCAGTAGCTAGTTGACCAATCTTGTTGGTTAAACTCTGAATGGAGGTATCATTTTTCTGTTGGTACTGTATGTTCATCTCAGCCATTTGTTTGACAAATTCCTCTAATGAAGGTGAAGAAGGTTGAGGAGCTAGTGCTTCATTTTGCTGCCTCTGATATTGTTGTTGCATTGGTGGAGGCACATAAGGTCTGCTTGGACCAACAAAATTCTGAAATGGTGGTGGTGGCAAAGGATTCTGCTGCTGTTGGTGCTGCTGATTGGACCATCTCAGATTTGGGTGATTCCTCCACCCTGGATTGAATCTATTGCTTGAGGTCAGAATTTTGCTGTTGGTTTGGAGCCCTATTGTTGAAAATGTTTGCTGCATAAGCTTGTGGAGCTCCAGAACCTATAGACTCATGCAATAATTGGCAACAATCAGTGGGATGCTCAATTGAAGTACAAATGCCACAAACCCTTGCAGGTGGTGCAGGTCTCTGATTTGCAGCAGGTTGGGAGACTAGGGTGGTGAGGGCATCAATCTTACTTTATAGCTTCTTCTCCACTAAATCTGATGAACCCACATCATGTATACCTCTAAGGACTATGGCATCACTCCTCATGTTAAATTGCTGGGAATTGGACGCCATCTTCTCAATTAAACCTCTAGCAGCAACATGTGTCATGTCTCCTAAAGCTCCTCCACTAGCTGCATCTATCATACTCCTATCCATTGTGTTCATCCCCTCATAAAAGTACCGTAGCAGAGAGCTGTTCCGATATTTGGTGGTGAGGGCAACTTGCACAAAGTCTCTTGAACCTCTCCCAATACTCGTATAAGCTCTCTCCCGGATGTTGTCCGATACCCGATATATCCTTCCCGATGGCAGTGGTCCCGGAAGCAGGGAAAAATTTCTCTAGAAAGACTCTCTTCAGATCATCCCAGCTCGTTATGGAACCAGGAGCTAAGTAGTACAACCAGTCTTTGGCAAGATCCTCCAAAGAGAAAGGAAAAGCCTTCAGGTATATGTGATCTTCAGGAACATTTTGTGGCTTCATGGTGGAGCAGACTATATGGAACTCCTTGAGATGCTTGTGTGGATCCTCACCTGCACGACCATGAAACTTGGGCAACAAATGGATTAGTCCAGTTTTAAGCATAAATGGTACATCCTTGTAGACCCCTAATTTTGCCCGGTCTCTCAATAAAGGCTAAAGAGACTTCCTACAACAAAGACAAAGCTCGCCTGACATCTCAATAAAGGCCAAGAAGACTTCCTATATGAAGATAAAGCTTTAACGGGCGTTTATCGGCATCAAACGACGTCCGAATACAGAAAGGAAAGCTTCCCAGGGGTCCCAGAACACAAAGGCTGGCCAAAACAGGTCGAGACGGCCGTCCCAAGGTCGAGACGACCGTCCGAACCTTCCCTGGCCAAGTGGGACGGCCGTCCCAACTGGGACTGCCAGTCCCAGCTTTCAGGTGGTCTCAGCCTTTGCAAAAGAGGCAGTTGGGACGGCCGTCCCAACCCAGACGGCCGTCCCAACTCAGTAGTGTAGACCCCAAATCTTGCCCAGCCTCCAAATAAAGACCAGAAGACCTCCTATTTGAAGATGGACAAAGCCTAACAAGCCACTAGGAGAGACTATTAGGCCCCATATTAGGATAGGAAGGTTTTTCTGCACAAAAAATAAGTTTTCTCGCCTTTTTGGGACGAGACCGCCGTCTCGAAATCGAGACCGCTGTCTCGCCTCACGCGAATGGCGAGACCGCCATCTCACCAAACGAGACGACGGTCTCACCACTTGTGAAGGATGAGACGGCGGTCTCGCCACTTTGGCAGGACGAGACGGCGGTCTCGACCCTGTTAGATGAGAACGGCGGTCTCGCCACTGCCAGGCGCGAAAACCTATAAATAGGGGTCCTCCCCCCCTCATTTCCACACACCTCAAGCTTTTAGCTCTGCCTTCTCTCTAAAAACTTCTCTCTAGAATCCCTCCGACGCATTTCTGGAGTTTCTGAGTGTCTTTGAGAGCATTTTTCGGCGTTTCGAAGAGTTTCAGACGTCTTGTAGAGTGAAGGGCTGCCAAAAAGCACCCATTTCTTTTAAAGAAATAAAAACAAAGCTTGCTTCAGAGGTTTAATTTCTCCCCCTCTACTTTTAACGCTTTAATTTTAATTATGCAATAGATTAGGGCCATGTAGTCATCATTTTAAATTCTGCACAATAAAAAGGGCAAAAGAGAATTTTCTGGTTTATTTATTAACAATAAAAGCTGGCCTATCATAGGGAACCCGAAAGGGGCATAGTAAAGGAACTAATACCTCCTTTACCACGTAACTAACTCCCTTACCCAACTCTGGTTCTAACGACCAAAGTTGGTTTTCGAAAACCAACGCCTTTTAAAAACCTTTTCTGATGTTTCCGGTAAAAACATCGGTGGCGACTCCACAGAACCCAAAATAAATAAGTCCTTGGGTTAGCCCGGTTATCGGACAACCCAAGGAAACTTTTTGAAAACCTCGCCCCTAGGTTAGTCCGGTTATCGGACAACCTAAAGGCGTTGTAACCACCTATAAAAACGCGAAAACAAAAGGGTCGAAAAACCATCGCGTCGCTCCGACCGACCTCTCTCTTTTGAGACGGCGGCGACAGATGGCGACTCCACTGGGGAAGCCTCGAGAGTTGATCCCATTTAGTGATGGGCCGGCTTAAATAATAAATAAACCAAGAAAATAATACTTTTGCCCTTAACTTGTATTATAACATGTTTTAATGTTTGGCTTTAATAAATTGTTGTTTGCTTATACTTGCGCAAATTGCTTGAAATATAAACTGCACACAATCCCTTGCACACAACAGTTCCCCCTATACCCGGGGGCAAGTGAGATAACCATAGGGAGTGGGTGGCAGGTACGGTTCGCTGTAGTGAGGGCCTTGAGCCCACCAGTGTGATCGGAAACCACCACTCAAGGTGATAACCTTCCTCTTTTGGCAACAAGACTGACTATGGCCTTAGTGCTAAGCATGGTCGGACGACTGGAGAGTGGGGACCCTATAATGGGGGCACCTTGGGGGCCTTAGCCTGGTGAGAACAGTTAGAACCAACCCTGACCAATGCACTTTTCTACAGGAAAACCCTACCTCGTGATAAAAACGAAATCTCGCCTGTTCGGGGATGATTGAATTGTGTGTGCATTTGATTGTTGCATTTGTATGTTGCATAGCATAAACAAACAACAAAACAAAAACCAAAAAAAAATATTTTTACAAACAAACACCCTTATCTCGGACAGTCTGCCTTTTAGCTAGCCTGGTTTCAAGTTCTTTGTAAGCTAAGTAGCCACGCAGTTCCGACAGAAGAGATAAGGGACGCTAATTATTCTTTCGCATAAAGCCATATTTTATCTCGGACAGTCTGCCTTTTAGCTAGCCTGGTTTCAGGTTCTTTGTAAGCTAAGTAGCCACGCAGTTCCGACATAAGAGATAAAGGACGCTAATTATTCTTTCGCATAAAGCCATATTTTATCTCGGACAGTCTGCCTTTTAGCTAGCCTGGTTTCAGGTTCTTTGTAAGCTAAGTAGCCACGCAATTCCGATAGAAGAGATAAAAGGCTATAAAATAAGCAAACAAATAAAAAATAAAATCCATTTTTCCAAAGTCTGTAAATAAGACCTGGTCCAAAAATATTATACTCATAAAACATTCAGATAGTTTATTCTTTCAAAACCAAAATACGCAAACATCATGTAGAAAAACATGATAAATAGAAAATAAACACTTACATACATTCAAATAAGCATCCATTTAATCAAAAATGCATTTTTGATTTTAGAAATGGAGGGGACAAGTAGGCAGACAAAGAAGGTGGACATTCCCCGTTTCCATACTAAGAGGTTGGAACGGTTAAGCACAATAATGCCATCGAAGGTCCGCGCCGACTTCGAAAAATCCTACGGACGAATTTTAGACCTCCTAAAGATATGTGTCGATCAGGTGTTCCTAAGGGCACTAATCCACTACTGGAATCCAAATCTGCGATGTTTCGAGTTTCCGTAGTTCGACTTGGTGCCCACCCTAGAGGAATATGATACCATGTTGAGGTGGCCCAAATCAGTCGGGGTCCACGTCCGCCACGAAGCATATACTCCCGCAGCACCAGTCGCTGCCCTTATTCAGTTGCCATTCCGCCAGAGTACCCTGATAAAGAAGGGGAACACCCAGGGTTGGAAAGTAACGATGTTAGAAGACCACCTGTCCTACCTGGCTGAACGGACGAGTGGGTTGCCTTTAACAAAACCCTGGCACTCATAATTTTTGGAACAGTCTTGTTCCCCTTCCATTTCGACACAATAGATCAGGCCGTCATGGACGCCTTCTTCGCCCGGGACGTGAATTCGAAAAGTCCCCCGCCTCGCTATTCTTGCCGACACCCTGCTCTCGGTGGAATTTTGTCACCGAAGCAGTGGCAAAATACTCCGCCGTCGCTCTTCATTGCTGTTTGTGTGGAGTGCCACTCACCTGTACGCCTCCAGTCACATGGGGATATTCCCCGACCCTTTGAGAAGTTTCTCCAAGATCCCCCTCCAGTGTCGTCCGACCTCAGAATGGAGGGATGAGTGGGAACGCAAGGACACCAACAGGATATCCCGGGTCCGTCCTTGGTTCCGACCCGCCCAGCTTCTCATCGGATGTGGGGACTATCCGAGTGTACCCTTGATAGGACTCGTGGGCTGCATAGCTTACTCACCTAAAGTAGCTATGAGGCAGCTCATGAGGACCCAAACTATCATTTCCCGAGGGGAGCTCTGAGGACCGTGCTTCTTGGGAGACCCATGCACCATCGCCAACTCACTAGCTGTGAGAAAAGCATGGGAGATGCCAGTCTACATGGGAGACAGAGAGCTAGGAAAAGCTCGGGTGGCTGTCACCAATGACTATGAGGCATGGATAAATAGAAGAGGAGTGGCTCAATCATCCACCACACCCACTACGAGCGTCAGAAATGAAGGGCTGCAGACTCAAATCGATGCCTTGACCCAGAGGATAGAGATCATAAGAGCCCAGATGAGGGCCCTTGAGGAAAAAGAGCAAGAATCTATCCTCACGATTGACGGTCTGCGAAGGCAAGGCAAGAAAAATGATCATGAAATAGAGCGCCTCAAGGACCAATGTGCCGACGCTAACGAACAAGCTATCCGAACATCCAAAACTACCAGAACCAGTTCGGATAGCCAACTGCAAGAGATAACCGCCAAAACGGCACACCTTGAGGCCGAATCAGCTAAGCAGGTTCAAACAATCAAGGAGTTGTCGGAAGGGCTCCTCAAGGCTCGGTTAGACATCCGCCAAGAGCGAGAGGCCAACAGGAGACTCACCAAAAGTCTCTCTGAGCTACGCCACAAAGAAAAAGAAGGGCTAGCTCAGTATAGCCAAGTACTTCAAGAGAAAGACCGAGCCATTGAAAAGCTCGATGAACTACAAGCCTTGGTCGTTCATCAAGAGGCGAAGATCAAAGAGGCTAAACAATACAATGAAGATATGAGCTAGGCGGTCCGCAAGCAAAGCGAAGCACTTGCTCGTCATGTCCGGGAAGCTGAGAGAGAACTACAGAGGAATCAAGACCCTCCTGTGGGTTTCTTTAAAGTTTTCTGCTTTTGCCAAAAGTTGCTTCGCAGTATAGAATAGGGGAATGTACACCTTCTCTTTGAATAAATAAAATTTCTTTTTAATCAAATGACTGTCTACTTTTATGCATGAGCATTCATTTGCATATTTTAAATTTCCCCTCCTTCACACTTAATAAATAAGATAATAAAAAGGAATGATTAACTAACACGTCTTCCAACTCAGAAGAATGGAGAGAAAGCCACTCCTAATAAAGCTCACCCCAACGGTCGAATCATCGCAAGAGGAAATTAAGCCTCGGCCGTTGGTCCTCAAGAGTAAGGAAGAGGGGGCAAGGACGCCAGTGTGACTATTTATGCCATGTCCTTTCCCCTACGAGTCAAATAAAGTTGTACCGTGGAGATATGGGGAATCTTCATCGATAAAAGAGGAAATAACAAACATAGCCGGCATTGGGGGCACAACTAGAAGTGGAAGAATCTACTCCCCCAAGGACACACAAGAAGAGGTCCCCAAAAATAAAGAAAAAAATAAAAAGACTGAAGAAGAAAAAGAAAATAAAGAATCCAAGGAGGAGACAGAGGAATTACTCCAGTTTATAAGGCAGAGTGAGTATTCCATTATAGACCACCTCAATCGCACATCTGCAAAGATCACGTTGCTATCCTTGATAATGAGCTCGGAACCGCACCGGAACGCCCTGCTAAAGGTCTTGAGCGAGGCACATGTACCTCACACAATATCCCAAGAAAAGGTCGAGAGAATCGTCGGTCACATCACGACAAACGATCACCTCACCTTCACAGAGGAAGAACTCCCCCTAGAGGGGTCAAACCACAACAAGCCCTTGCATATCTCGGTTAAATGCAAGGAGTACCTCATCGCCAAAGTTCTTGTGGATAACGGGTCATCCCTGAACGTGATGCCCAAGTGCACACTAGATAAGTTGACTATCCAGGGAACCCGTCTGCGCCCAAGCAGCACCATCGTTCGAGCCTTCGACGGATCAAAATGAGAAGTAGTGGGAGAGATCAATTTGCCAATCCAAGTTGGACCCACCACCTTCAACGTCGATTTCCATATCATGGACATTACTCCAGCATACAGCTGTCTCCTCGGCAGGCCTTGGATTCATGACGCTAAGGCAGTACCTTCGACGCTCCACCAGAAAGTCAAATTCATAGTGGGTGACAAACTGGTCACGGTGCAAGCAGAAGACGATATCCTGATCAGTGGACCGTCCACCCAACCTTATGTGGATGCGGCTGAAGAGGCCCTTGAAACATCTTTTCAAGCGCTCGAAATTGCCAGTATAGAGCGACTTCCCAGAAACACAAAGGTAGCCCGCATGATGTTGAAGCACGGTTACCATCCTGGCCAAGGAATGGGGGCAGATTCCCAAGGCATGAGGGAACCCCCAGAATTCAAAGATAATCCTTGCAAGTATGGCCTAGGATATGACCCTACTAGGGGCCGAGCGGAAAGAAGAAAAGGGAAGTCTCCCCTCCGCACACTCAAGCAAATTTTCCGAAGTGGAGGGGTGCAAGCGTCAAGAGCCACTCTAGTCATTAGGAAAACTTTTTCTTTGTTTAAAGGATGTAAACCCCATGATTGTTAGAGATTATTCCCCAGGGCGAGCCCGACCCCCGGGCATTTTAGGGCACATATTTCCTTATTAATTAATAAAGAATGATTCTTTCTATCTGCTTCTCTTCTTTCTATTTCTGACTAGACTACGTGAAAAACCCTGTCTAAGTAAACATAAAAAAAAGGAGAAGAATAAAAAGTGCTTCCAAATAATCAACATTTACCATTGCTATGACCATCAAGCTAGTTGATTAGAAGCACATAAGAATAAGGCTTCACCTCACCCATAAAGAAAGTCATGCTTCGCCAATACTGTGAACAAAAAAATAAATCCACAAAAGAAAAAGCCCAGAGAAGCCAAAGGCCAAAGAAAAAGGCAAATTACCTGGTAGGAAACCCACTAAGGGGGCTACACAAAAGATAGGGTCGACCCGGTAGGATACCCGAACAACAATAAAGGGTAGCCTAGGCAAAAGTTAGGGTTACAAATAAGGTCCGCTAGGATTTCTCCAAAAATTTTACAAAAGAAGGAACCTAGACAAAAGTTAGGGCCAACACACAGTATCCTAGTTCGAAAACCCAAAGGGCGATCTAGGGAAATCAGCTAGCCATTTAAAAAAGCAATGGAAATAAAACCAAAGAGCGCAAATACAAAAAAGAAAGGAAAAATGTTTGCTTAGACGAAGCCTAGACACCTAAGCTTAACCCTAACCAGCCATTCTTACAAAACCCTTTTATCAATAAAAATCAACCCTCTAAAACACAAACCATTGATTTTTACCCTTTTATTTCTTTTCTCTTGACCCTCACGACAATATTCTAATAATTAATTTGAGAATATGGAGGCGTATAGTCAACAAGAGGATTGAAATCCCTAAAGCAAAGAAAGAGGGACACTATGTGACAAAAGGTGCTCTACAAAGGAAAAAGAAGAAAAGGAGAAAATAGAGAAAGAAAGAAATTACCCTTCGGTCACAAGAAGTCCGGTATGGTACAACCAAAAGTAAATGCAGCAAGTCAGGAGGCACTCAGCGCAATGAGACACGTTGGTTAAATCCTTCTGAAAGCTTAATCAAAATAGGCATTATAGGACATCAAGACATAAAAACATTGCATGCATAAAATGTTTTTGAACCAGGTCCTATTTTCTTTTTTTTTAAAAAAAAAACCTTCCGTAAATCGAGACCGCCGTCTGGTTATCCCAGACCGCCATCTCGATTACCCTCCAAGACGAGAACGCCGTCTCGACCCACCAGACCTCCGTCTCGACTCAGGCGAAAACGAGACCGCCGTCTCGCTCGACGAGACCGCCATCTCGTTTAAACCAAACTTCGAGACCGCCGTCTCGATGGACCGGACTGCTGTCTCGATTTGGAGGAGACACGAGACCGCCGTCTCACCTTCCCAGACGGCGGTCTCGAATTGGAAAAAAATCCTATAAATAGGGGGCGCGCTTGGGGGGTTTCTCACAACTCTCCTTGCCTCCAGAACCTCCCTTTCTCAACTTTTGCTCTCCCAAGCACCCCATAGTCAAAATGTTTGGCAGAAGCGCATCTAGAAAGAGAAGGAGCACTGCTGGTGCCAGCAGTTCTGCAGCACCGCCACCCCAAGATCCTTCGCAACTATCACCGCAGCACCAGGCCCGCCTTGACAACATCCGGACCTATGCGTTGTCGCCGCCGTGCATTCTGACGTCCTGGGACGTCTCGAACGTTAATGCGAGCGGTCGCGAAAAGATGGTTGAGACTCGCGTTTTTTGTTTAAAACATGTTCATTGCTTCCGAGGTGCTCAACACTGAACTATCCTCTAAATGAAGCAAGGTTTTCGAAAAGGGTTCTTTTGGGGTCGCCACCAATGTTTTGACCATAAACATTGGAAAAGGAGAAAAAGGCATTGATTTTAATAAAAACCAACTTGGCCATTATAACCAGAGTCGGGTAAGGGAGTTAGTTACGTGTGGGGAAGGTGTTAGCACCCCACAACGACCCTTTCGGGTTCCCTATGACAGATTAATTCATTTAAGTAAAGATTATAAGAAATTACGCGATTACGCTTATTTTATTCGTACAATAAATATGGCTATCTACATGATTTTATTTACATTTTATGAAGCAATAAATAAAGCAGTAAAGGAGAAGAGATTTGAGAAGAACCTCCGTAGCAAGCTTTATATATCAACTCTGTTACAATAAGGACGCTTTTCGGCAATCCCTCGCTCTACAATGACTCTCCTCTCGATTATAGACTCGACTCGACTAAATTTTCTAGAAGAATCGAATGCCGGAATACAAATTCCTTAACTGATTGTTACCTTTTAAAGGCAATCAGAAAGATCATTCGAGAGAGGGAGAGAAGTAAACAAGTCTTCTGAGTTGTCTGGGGTGTGTTGGATGACAAAATGAGGCTCCCCTCATCACTCCCCTAGCAGAAAGATGGGGGTGCCCTGGCCGGGAAGAGCTGGCCCACAACCTGCGACCCGAATCCATCGGCGGGTCAATCTTGGTCAGCATGGGAATGCTGATCCGCAGAGGGACCCAGCTGGCCCTCCATCCTACACTGGATTTCGCACTAGACCTCCAGGGGCTGGTGGCAATGCAGGATATCCCCACGCCCCCCGAATTCCAGCAGCAGCAGCAGCAGCAACAACAACCACCACCGTACACGGACGATTTCGCCAGTATGAACCGCAACATAAACAATTTGCGCCGGCAGTTCGACCAAATGACAGTGCGGCAAGAGACCTACCATACCCGGCAAGAGGAGATGTACCAGCATCAGCAGGCGATGCGACAAAAAATAAGTTTTCTCGCCTTTTTGGATAGGAAGGTTTTTCTGCACAAAAAATAAGTTTTCTCGCCTTTTTGGGACGAGACCGCCGTCTCGCCTCATGCGAATGGCGAGACCGCCGTCTCACCAAACGAGACGGCGGTCTCACCACTTGCGAAGGATGAGACGACGGTCTCGTTTGGCGAGCCGGCGGTCTCGACCCTGTCAGACGAGAACGACGGTCTCGCCACTGCCAGGCGCGAAAACCTATAAATAGGGATCCTCCCCCCCCTCATTTCCACACACCTCAAGCTTCTAACTCTGCCTTCTCTCTAAAAACTTCTCTCTAGAATCCCTCCGACGCATTTCCGGAGTTTCTGAGTGTCTTTGAGAGCATTTTTCGGCGTTTCGAAGAGTTTCAGACGTCTTGTAGAGTGAAGGGCTGCCAAAAAGCACCCATTTCTTTTAAAGAAATAAAAACAAAGCTTGCTTCGGAGGTTTAATTTCTCCCCCTCTACTTTTAACGCTTTAATTTTAATTATGCAATAGATTAGGGCCATGTAGTCAT